GATACATCCAAATTATTATGATTTTTATGGTTTGGGCCACCATATTGGTGCCCCTTAGAGGAACACAAACATGGTGTCTCCACACAAAGCCTTTTAAATTTGAATAAAACATTTCTTCAAATATCTCCTGCCCAAACTATCATACAGACCTGATTCTTTGAGGGGCTATTTAAATAATCTTCTTCTTTTATTTCTTTTATTCTTGACTTTATTTTTGGAATGGTTTTGATGATAGTGTGACCAGTGAAAACTGGCTCTAACTTGATCAGTGTTTTCTATCATTTTATCAATTTTCAGACCTAGTAAAGATTGATGAGAAATTGTTTTCATCTGGCACCTGTCCTGTAGATGCTTTGCCTCTCTTTCTTGGCCATTTTCAGTACACAGAAAACCTTGATCAAGAGGTATGGATATTGTAAAATTTTGAGATGTCCATCCCTTGTTTCAAAGATCAAGAATGAAACTGGTGGTGACATCCTCACAGAGAGTAGTAATAAAAGGTTGCTAAATCTCAAACTAACCAGGGTAGTTCCACTGCCACCTACATTGTACACTGACAATAATTGATAGTGACAGACCGTGAGCATTTAAGCTGGGTTTTGATATTATATCCACATAACTTTATAATATTTCGCATTTTCAAATAAGTTTATCTTTTTATAGGAGGAGCTCAACATGGTAAAGAAGTTCATCTGTATCAAGCATGCAGAGGAATGCTATACTTTACAAGAAGGAACATGGTTTGTTTTTCATTGCATATGGTAGTATGTACACAGCTGTACTTATAGTTTCGACCTAATACAGTATGACTGTACAGTTCAATAAAGTACAGTACGAGTGTACTTCTAAAGCAGGGGTTTCAAAATGTTTTGAAGTAGGTGGCTGACTCTGGAAAAGTAGGCGGCTGTGATAACACCGAGATTGTTTGTCAGGAGCATACTGCTATGACCAGAGTAGCCGGTGACATACAATCAAGTAGCCAGCAGAACTCAGGCAGTGGCTCGCTTGTTTTGAAACCACTGCTAAAGTAGGGTGAAATTATGGGATTAGATCTGAAAGAAAGAATGTCACAGGGCCTCCTAGAAAGAGGCTACATGTAAACAGCCACTAATTTTTACTCTTTAACTCCCAAGATCTGATTATAAATTCTCCCCCCCCCCTGCCTTGCTGCTTCACATTTGCCTGTGAATTAATGACAAGAATTTGGTGTCAGATTAAGAATACAACTTCTGCCTAACACAGTAAGTTTGAGTATTCTCATTACCTGTTTGCTGGATAATGTATGGATATTATAGGGAGAAGTTACATGTTAATCACTTCTGGAAGTTTAACAGTTAATTTAATTAAATTTATTCCATTTTCACTGCATTATTGCAGTGGGGAAGGACTAGAAGGGAACANCATTCTTTGAGGACATTATTTTAATTACTAGTAAAACTAAAAGAGGGGTATTTATTTCTTAATTCTTTTAGTAAAATTATCAGCCATTTGGTTAGTGATGTGTACCAGTTTAATCACAGCAGTGTGACAAGTTTATGGACAATCTGCTGCCACCTTCTTCAGACTGGTCTACTTCACATTAAGCAGGTTTGTTCCCATGAGTCATAATATAAAATTGAATTTGTTTTTTGAGTCGACCCTGTCCAGGTGGCCAATTTGTACATGGTGTTAATGGACTACTACAGGCTTTAAAGACTATCAAACCTTGATAGGTCAAAGTTTGTTTTTCTTTTCTTAATTCACAACAGCGCAGAATACATGTAGTTACAATAATTATTTGTCATCACTTGCGCATAAACTCTTATGTCACATGTATGACCTATCATACATCACCTAATTGTTTCACTCTCAAGATCTCTTGAGTAATTCTCCGTACTGTCTGCRGTACAATTCTTAAGATGTTAGTTTGGAGAATTTGGTATTGGATCAACTGATGATCCCCTTATTTATATTTTTCTTGATTCTCATTATTTATCTGCTTGATAATGTATTTATGTTGTCTGGAGAAATTCTGTCTTGGTCAGTTATGGGAGCATAATGTGTAAAGGGTTAAAATACCTTACTTACAGTAATAATCTGCTTACAATGAATTTCCACAATTACTACATACCTACAATGGGAACATAAATTGATACTAAATTGAATTAATTGAATTAACTTCAATTTCAAAACTTCAAAAAATCCAACATTGCTTACATTACTAAAAACTTTAAGTTTGTTATTTTAACTGCGTGAAAAAGTTTCTCAGCATCCATGCAAAATGTGTCAATAGAAAATTAATTGCCCAGCATCCATTAAAAAATGTGATCAAATGTTGATTGAGTTCTATTGTTCCATTACTCGGCTGTTTGATAGTGTTCGATAGGGTCTTAGGTATTTCATGTAATGCTTAAGTACCAGTTGTTCTTTTTCATTCAGGTAGCAGTAAGTGTAATGACAGCCCTGCTCCCTTGGAGTGGACTTCCCACTGTACCTCTTCTGGACAAGTTCGTCAAATGCCTTTGCTCTTTACTAGAGCTTTTGGTATCTGATGTTGCCTCTAAAATCCCAGTTAATGGGAGGTAAAATATGCATTCCATGTTTTCCTGAGTATCAATGAAGTTACGTGCATACATGTAGATAGTTTGTACCTTGTAATAAAAGAATGATTGTTGAAGCCTACTTATTATTATCTTAAACCCTTATGCTATGTTTGTAGGGATGTAGGTTCACAATTTGAACTGTAGACCATTGATATCTAAATATAATCATAATAATTAGGACTTTTTTACACGGTTCTGTTGGCTAAATTTTTATATTTTGTGTTTGAACCATTGTCAGGGGTCAATACGCCTTGTTGCTTCATGCTACAGAAACGGGAGTTAAGCACTTGCTTGATGGGCCACTTGGCTCATAAACAGACTTTACCTTTTATTTAAGTAATGCACTGGAAGTATATGTGTGTTCACTAACGAACTGCCAGGAAAGATTGACTGGTGGTATCTATAATGCTGCTATGGAGTGCCACGCCATTTAGGAGAGGGGAAATGCCTAGTTGCTTCTTGCTGCAGAACCATTAATTTAATCTGTGAATGTTCCCTTTTACGTTTGGTATGCAAAGCTATCTCTACTTTCATCATTTAAATCTGACAGAGAAAAATGCACTACATTGGAGGTCAGTGTAGCTAAGTGCTTGGATGTCCTATCAACAGACCTTCCATCTGAAAAAGGAGAGCCTCCTCAATTGACAGGCTCAACATCAGAAAGACCTCTCTATGCATTTCCTGTGTGGCATGTTAACTACTTTCTATTGAAGCTCAGAGGTGTTTTTCGTGGAGCTGGTCTGCAGAAATTTCTGACCAAAGAGTTAAAGGTGCTGTACTCTTTTTTTTTTTTGTTTTTCAAAATAAAAGATGCATGCGCATGCAATTAATTAGTTAAGTTTCCAAGAATGCTCAAGCACTATTTGCAACATGAGTCGAGTGATTTTTCCCTCCTGCAGAGGTCACCTGCTATTGCAATAGCTGCAACCCTTATCTAGTATGCTAACTATCTGGCTCCAGTTATTCAGGAGATGTATAGCGCTATTCACTGGAGTAGATAAATCTTTATCTCGTGGTCAGTGTAGTGTGTTTAGTTGACACTTATTAATTAATTTTGTTGAATAGTGATTTATCCATCTGGCCTTCAAACCATTGGGCCAGGGTACTTTGAGTTTCTCTTGCAGCTAACTGTATAATGATTTATATGTTATTTTTGTCAGGTGGCTGTATGCCAATTCATTTCTCGTATATACAGACATGTGCCAATCAACACTAGTCTTTTAATACAACACCACGTCAGAGATGACATCAATAAGTGTCTGGTCAGATACGTTGGCACTGAACAACAGGAACAGGTAATTGCTTTTATTTGGAAAGGAGTTTTAGGGAGACATCAACAGGTTTTTACTGATAGCATTATGCAATAATTTTCTTGTATCAACCAGCTTATTTTGATGTACTCTTAGGTTTTACCAAAAAGAATTTAATTAATTTATGTTGATCTTCATATGGCTAATGCGTAAGTCCAGCGTGTGGTAACTTCTTCACAACCAAATGTTCCCATTTTGGAGAAATGTCACGAGTGTTTTTCTTTTTCTGTAGTTCTTGGTTAGGTGCTTATGTGAGGCAGTGAATGCAGAAAGGTCCAACAAAAAGGGCACCACCAGTGTCAGGGTAATTGTAAACATTCCTTGGATCTACATGCATGTACGTTTTGTTTCTACATGTCAGTCTATCTGAGACGAATTACCTAAGGTTTGAACCCATAAACTTTCTTTTAAAAGAAATTCAAGTATATGAACTGTAACACCGAAATCATTTTAACTAGTGATATGGGCATGTCATTACTATAATGTCGCGTAATGGCGTAACGCGTTGTTTTCTTCTTCATTCGTTCCTTCGTTTCTTCCACTCATCTTAGTATCCTTTGCTATCTTCAACTTTTTGCTGCGGCTCCCACCTCTATTTTTCCTGTTGTCCAAGTCGTTTACCTCAACGCCTTTTGAAATCTCATCAACCATCCCAATAGTAATTGTAATCAAAGTTTAATGTCTTTACGTGGGGCATGGTTACCCATATTGCCCGAGCCAGAGGCTCATGTATGAAACGCAAGACAACAACCCACCGATCCCACCCCAGGGGAGGACATCTATCACACAGTAATCTCGTGCGTGGGAAGTTAACGTCTCCTACCCCAACCCTGCAGGAGACGGGACCTCCATTAATATTATTCGTCCCTATCTGAGAAGACTAGAATATCTAAACCATTTCTTGATGTTATAGAAAGGCAGCATATTCTTCTCAATTATTTTAAGACCTTGAGTGTTGGTCCGGCCGGTGCTCGAACCCTCGACCTCCCGCACATCAGTCCAGCGCTCTATCCATTGAGCTAACCGGGAGGCGGTTCGTAAATAGGGAAGGAGGAGCATTTATTCCATGTAGTCAAATTTTGCTTTTTAAATATTATAGTCTGATGCCTCAGGAACAGATGGGGTCTCAGGTGAAGAAACAATAGAAAGGTTTGTGACAACGTTCTATTATCAATATAATACCTTTATTATAAAAATTACAGCTAAGGTCATCTGTGGGCAAATGGAGCTAATTCCCTGTTCTAATCGGCTACTTTAGCCTAGCCCGATTTGGAATGCCCGCTTTGAGCCCGTCCGATATAAAAAAAAGACATTGCGTGAAGTGGACTTATAAAGTTCGTGAGTTTTGGACAATGTCGCAGATGGAGACGCAAAAGGGGCCCAAGACATCTAAAATAAAGAAAACATAAACCATTGTCGTGGGTTTATTGCGCTACAAAAACTGTTGGCTTTCTTTCCCGGCTCTCGAATGCTTGCGAATTTTTTTTGCTATGTAATAAATCCTTTATTGACCAGGCTTGTTTGCGCGAGATGGCGGGATATTAGCCTTGGTCTTTAAAAACGTCACATAAAAACGCAATTCAGATCTCGCCAACATCTACTGAGCCATGTTGACCTCACGCTTTGTCAGTAACACATAGATGTATACTGTACGTTTTTATCGTTTTGTGATGCTACACTTATATCCTATGATTTGCAGGGCGTTCAATGACTTGAGGCATTCATGGTAAGATTTCTGACTAGTAGCTATAATAAATACTTCCTGTTTATTAACTACTTTCTGTTTTGCGCAGTCAGACCAGCTCTTCAAAGAAACGAAAAATGACCACCATCTCAGAGCCTTCTTTGCCAGGCAAAAAGAGATCAAAAGACTCAAGTTCAGAAACAATTGGTAGATTACTTGAGAGAGTAAAAGCCCTTAACATGTCTATAATACGTAAGGGAGATGAAAAGTTACCCAATTTGGTAAGTGTGAAATCATTTGTCTTTTTCTTGTTGTGTGGGATTGGTTGGTGGGAGGGAGGGGGAGCTGGGGACAGAGATTTCTGATGAAAACTACAACGTATCTGCCAAACTACAACGCTGGTCTTGCATCATTTAAAGTAGATACTTAAATATTGTAGCTGTTTTAAAACAATAATTTGTCTTGACCCTAATTTGTGTTTGTATGCTTGGCTTGTCAGGACGAGTTTGCCTGTGAGCTGGAAGGCGTCAGAGTCATTCTGGAAGTGATTGTTCACCTTTGTGGTCAGCAAACAAGGAACCTCAGCGCGGAGAATCCAAGTGACTTAAGTGAAATTAAAGGTGATCTTGTGAACCATAGTATACACAAATTAAGAGACTTAACAGAAGTAGAATTACCCTTCGAAAAAGTACTTATCTAATAAACATCTCTTGCTTTTTTAAGTATATTTTAAATTTACCGTTATGGTACCTACATCAGTGTCTTCACCGAAAGATGGGAGTCAAACGAATGGGGAGAGATCAGTCATCACCATCGTTCCTTTAATCTTTTGTGCTTCTGGAACGTTTGTATTCATTGTTGTAAGTTTGAAGTTTTTTCAGCGAATGATTTATAATCCCGTGAGCTGCCGTTTCATTACTTCATTGTTCGGTCTCTTGTTTTTTACATAGTTTTCGAGGTTGTCACATAGTATGTTTTAATGTGATAACACATTTGGGGTGGATGCATTTAAGAAGTTTGGTTTCCTTTTGAATTTTAGCCGAGTTTTTCTCTTTTTCAGAGTTTTTTACAAGCTTGGATCTCGGCCACCTTTTCTCCATGTTTAAGTTATCTCTGCAATTCATTGTCCAGACTGCAGAGCTGTCATCGCAAGGCACAAGCGCATTTAACATCGCTGATTCGTCCTTTAGAAAACTTGTACAGCTGTGCGGACTATTGTACAGCATATCAGATTTAATTCACATCCCTCTAGCATTATGCCAGTTCTTTATATTTCTGGTATCTATTCCTTGGCTTTCAAAGTGTGATCCTCCATGGTTTGATCTTCCGCATGGGTTCGGTCTTTCGTTGGACGGCATGGTCAGAGTTGGGAGGTCACTCGATCCTTTGCTTGGTAAAGACAGTAGAGTTGGTTGTCTCCAATTACTGGCAGTTCTGGATGCAGCGCCAACCTGGAGAACACAAGTGTTCCTTCTAGTTCTTGTAGGTGTCATTTCTTGGAAGTTTTTGGAGCGTAAATGATAGCATTAAGTGATAACGTAAAACTATGGTACATTCATTTGTGTGAGGTTCATAAGAAAGTTTCAATTGAGTGTGCAATGTTCAAGTAGCTCCGATAGAAAGCATTAGTGTCGCTTCTCTTTGATTGGTTTGGCAGACTTGCAGCACTCTCTCGGAAAATTACAAGTTGAAATGACAGAAATTATGATTTGCCTGCTGGTTTCTATCTACATTGTTTCAAGTCTTTTACGTCTTCTCACCTTGGTCCGTCGTCGGCGCCTTTAGAACTTGGCAGTAGCTTTGTTAGGATCTGCCATAATAATGGAGATTTGTGCCTTTTGAACAGATTCCCCTTACTTTTTACTCGCATTGTTTACCCTAGCGAAACTGTAATGCACTGAACCTTACATTTTTTTTTTTTAATGAAAGAAATCTCATTTGACCTGTGGATGAAAACCTAGCTCGGAAATGATCTTCGTAATTCCTTTGCTTGATTTTCATCAGCAGCTCATTTGAAATTGATTTTATTAGAAAATTGTGATCAGATTCCTCTAGGGGATAAAGGATGAGCCCTCGAAAATATACCTCCTTTCCAACGTGTAGCTTTGTAGCTCAGTTGCTAGTATGCTCAATCTAGTATTATAACATAACCAAAGTAAAGCGCGCGCTGTGGTTGGTCAATTAAGTGTCCACCATTTGCCCATGGGTGTACGCTGCTGACGTGAGCAAATGCAAAGACAAGTTTTCGCGCGCTTGTTTTTTTTTCTGGTCACGTAAGATTTGTTATCTTAAAGGCAACTCTTTTGCTACAGTGTATCGATGTTGTTATAAAACAAATGAACAACACCACAGTGTACTCTATTGAGTTGTGGATGTATTTGGGAGGTTTGCTAAGCACTCAAGAAACCAGAGTCGCTCTCGGCTATCGTTTTGCTCGACTCCTACGCTTCTGTCGCGCTTAGCAACCTCCCGCGTGCATCATTGTTAATCTGGGAGAGGCAGGTTTGAATCCCTTCGAAGCCTGAATCTTTTCGGACTCCTTTTTCTGCAATTGCTCAAACTGCAGTCCATCTGCATAACTGGTTATCTTTTTTACACAGAAAGATACCAATGACATGAAGATTGTGGCTCTCAAGTATTTTCCTCTGTTGCTGTCCTCTATTGGCTCCTACGCATTTCACTTGATCAATAATGTTCTTCCTGGGATGCTCTCTTGCGGTGAAGCTGTTCAAGTAGAAATTGCCAAAACTATTGGCTCACTAGCCTGTGTACTTACAGAGAATACGGTGATAAAGAAGTTGAAGAATGAATTACCTTTTCAACATTCCATCTCCAGTAGCATCGCATGTCTTTGCCCCGATTGTGATTCTATTAATCAAAACAAAGCAGGTAACAAATTAAAAATATTTTTTGGTGTAATGAAATAGTTAGTGTTGTAAAGAAGACTCAGGACTTCCATTACTTCACCCTTAAGAAAGCTGCTTTTCTGACTCGGAACAGACTCTTCTCAACAGAATTCAAGCATTTTTATACCTTAACCTCTATGCACAACAAAATTGTTGTCATCAATAACATAGACATAATCAACGAAACGAATTAAAAGAGCAATCTTTACCTCCGGATCAAAACTGGCGAATGAGATTTGAAGAATGGTCTTTAAGTGTAACTCCAATGCAGAACGGGCCAATCACATTTCACGAATCAGACTTTTAGTATTCAACTAGCTCATGGCACTAACATAACACGTAAGTATGAAGGAACACGTAATTATGTGTGTGTAAAGAAACTGTGCGTTTCCTTTCTAGATAATTTGGCTTTATCAAAGGAGTTGATAATGTAAATTCGATAACGCTAGCCCTTCGCTCTGACGAAGGGCTAACGCTCGAAACGTCAGCTTTGTATTCTTTACGATGGTCAAGTTACATTATCAACTCGGTTGACGAAATCAAATTATCTTTTAATATCCCCACTTTCTTGATGATTTGGTTTTATCAACTGATTTGATAATGTAAATTTGTCATCGTTAGCTCTTCGCGCTGACGAAGGGCTATGTTTGAAACGTCAGCTTTCTATTCTTTGCTGGCGGTGGCCAAATTACATTATCAACTCAGCTGGCAAAACCAAATTATCTTGTAATATCCCCACAGACGTAGCACCACAGTTTCTTTAGAAACTTACTCCTGTATTCCTTCTTAGATGACTTGGAGGGAACTAAACCACATGCCATAGTGAATGCAGGAAATTTCATTCCTTACCTTCAACTTATCTCTCCTGAAGCAAGCTCTTCCGTCAAGTGCGCTTTCATCAAGAGCATGAAGAGAATCTTTGCGCATTTGGCAGTGACACCTGATAATGAAGCCCAAAGATCTATTGTGAGTGCAACTTGCTTTGACCTTATTGAGGACCCCGATTTTGACGTCAGGATGCAGTTCAGGTAAGTGATAGAAACCTGTAAGCTCACTTATTATATGAATGGCATGCCCGCGGGTAAGATGAAGTGAATCCCGTGTTCTAATTGGCTACCCGAGTGGGCAAGATGGGCCCATCTTGCCCGCTCGGGATTGCCCGCTTCAATCCCGCGGAAGAAAAAAAGTGGGTGGAGCAGACTTACAAAGGTCGTTACTTTTGGACAATGTTGGCAACGAAGTCGTAAACAGCGGCACAAGACAGTCAAAACAAACAAAAAAAATAGACGACCCTCTTGGGTTTATTGTGCTACAAATTGGCTTTCTTTCCCGGCTCTAGAAATAAAGGAGCATTCTTGATTCTAATTAAAGCGAGATCTTTTTGCTTTATAATAAATCCTTCATTGACCATGCTTCTTTATTGACCAAACTCGGCTAATTTCCAGCAATCCTGACCTCACGCTTGGTCAATGACGCATATTTAGTGGAGATGTGATGGCTGAATAGCTTACACGGTGAGCTTCAGATTAAACCGTCTCGACTTTGTAAAACGTTAGATAAACCTGGCGAAGTGTTGGCTGCTACCAACGTCAACACAGCGGTTAAATGTCGGCGCAAATGGATAAATTTGGGCGGGCAGTGCGCAAATCTCCCGTGCAAATTTCGTAGGATACCATACACTGAATCGAAATAGTCTAGTGAGGTTAGGAATACTCTAAGCTTCATGCGAAAGAAACGGGAATAATTAACAACTATTCACCGAAGTTGAGGTGGTTAGTGGTGGATATTTACCGAGCCGCGAAGCGGCGAGGTAAATATCCACAGCTAACCACCGACACTGAGGTGAATAGTTGTTTGAGTATATACTAAAACAGTGAGATAATATACACTACCAAAAACTAATTTGAGTGATTTCTTCGTCTGTCACGGATGCAAACCGGGACGCCATTTTTTCCCGAGTTGCTCGGAGGTAAATAGCAAAGGATATTCGGAGTTTGACTAGCCAATCAGAGCGCGCCTTCAACGCTATCCACTGTTTTAGTATATACTAACATTCGTTATTAATACATCGTGGGTTACTATACCTGTGTAAGACTTAAACACTGAAATTCAATATTCTTGAGAGTGGCAAATTGATTGCTTGATGTTTGGCAGCAATGTCGTCCCTTATGTTGTTAAACCTGGAGGAGCAGACTCAGACGAGAGCACCCAACAAAATTTCATTTCCAAGCTGAAGAAAGTGTTCGTTGAAGCGTCTTCACAGGGCAACTGCAAACTGCAGGAGACGGTTGTTTTAACGATTGGACAACTTGGAAAAGTGGCCGAAGGGGAACTATTGCTGGTTGTTATTGTGAGTTTGCTAGAGAGCCTGACTGCTCACACTCGGCTCATAAGAGCTGCAGCTTTCAAACAGGTATGGATGCGCTCTGATGGAAGTTGTGTTCATCTGACCTTCTGTAGCTACAAATCCATCACGAACAATTATCTTACGTTCCTTGGTTTGTGGTTAAGTAATGGACCGGTTATTATTTTTTGCCTGGGGTTTGGAGGATTTTGGTTGTGTCGTTAAAATTTACCTTTTTCCCCATAATGTAATGAGGAAAAGCAATAAACCCTCGGACAGGATGATTGTTCCAAAGGTCTGAGGTTCAATGCCTTGATGGGACATAAATTTTGTTCTTTTTCTTACGTTCTTGACAAGACGAAAAGAAATTTTCTCCAGACGACGTCATTTCTGACGTCTATGGTTAAAACTAGATGTGTGACAAAGAAGATTATAGCCTTCAGTGGTCGCGATAGGGAAAAAATGTCCAATTAGAGAATTTCACATGACTTCTAATTCACTACTGATCAACGATTAAGACTTTTGCTTCTTCTACAAGCCAAACACAGTTCAATGAACATTTTTGCGACGTCGTCACACATCTTGATCTCTTTGTCTTTTCTTGTCAGGTCCAAGAGGTGGCCAAGTTTCAGAACAAACAGCTGAAGGATTTGTTTGCAGGGTTCAAGCAGCCGATTTGTAAATTTGTGGTAGATGCCATGGACGAAATGCAAAACTTAAATCCATCTTCTAAAGGTTCTTTGGATGTTGTCTCCGAAGTTGCCAGTGTGTTTGAGTTTAGGGATGTCCATTCGTTTTTAAAGGTAACTCAAGCATCCTATACTATCTTGAGCAGAAATGCAAAAATTGTTGTTGTTTCAGTTGTTTTTTGTCCTAGGTTCATTATTTGGGATCCATTTTCCATTCTTGTACATTCTTTTTTACTTATTATTGTTCTTCACACTTAACCCTTTACAACCCAACATCAGTCTGCATATTCTCCATACTATTCTCTATGCATTTCGTAATGTGCTGACAAGGAGAATTTGTTTAACAATCAAGAGCCTCTTTAGTTGGTGATCATCTCCTCTGTTCTCGTGACCTTAATTTTTGATTCAGCGGTGATGTTGTAAGGAGAAATTAGATGTTAGTCACTCTTAGCGGTTAAAAGGGTTAATCTAATAATCTGACTATTGCACGCATTTTGATTGAGAAGAATATGCTGCCTTTCTGTAACATTAAGAAATGGTTTAGATATTCTAGTCTTCTCGGATAGGGACGAATAAATGGAGGTCCCGTCTCCTGCAGGGTTAGGGGCAGGAGACGTTAATTTCGCACGCACGAGATTACTGTGTGATGGATGTCCTCCCTTTGGGTGGGATGGATGGATTGTTGTCTTGCGTTTCATACATGAGCCTCTGGCTCGGGCAATATGGGTAACCATGCCCCACGTTAAGACATTAAACTTCGATTACTATTACTATAACTTACTTTGATATATTGGAGGACACAGAGATGACGTCACCATTCGCAACGTATGCTGTCTCTTTGTTACGATATAAATAGTTCCATGTTACCCTGGGTCTGCTCTGTAATAGAAGATAGAAGAAGTCAAAAGAACATCAGTGACACACTCGCCTGCCTCTAACGCGCCACCACTTTTTTGTTCTTACCACATTTTGACGTCATCTGTGATTTAGTTCAGAACTGATGCTTGGTAACATGGAACCTATTTCTTAGGTGTTATGTTTTTAAATTTCTCTCTCTTACAGAGTACACTGCGTTTTGTCATCCCTTACTTGGTAAAGAAAGCATCGCCTTCCTCATCGGCAATCTTAAGACACATCGCTAAAGAGCTGAAAATGAACAGAAGGGAAATGCTGTTGGAAAACTTCAAGTTTATTTTTTCTTTCCTTGTGAGAACATGTTCAGCGTCAGAGTTGGAAAAAGCTCTGGGTTATGTACAGGTAAGTCATAGTGCTATACATTTAGGGAACAACAACTGGGTGGAAACGAAAAGTGTGGAATACAGTGATATTCAGTGGGCAAACAGGCGGATGGTTGATTTCAACCTATACTTAAAAAGATTTCCAATTCTCCAAGCTGCGGTGCAAAGCCTTTTTTAATGAATGTAACGTTGTTGTTAATCAGTTGAGATTAGAATTATCTGAAAAGAGTTTCAAACCAGTGTGTAAAATGATGTGAAGTTGCCTTAGAATAGAGGCAAACCTTTAGCTAACGGGTTGTTCGTGCAAAGAAACACCAAAACGGTTGGAGCAAACCGAAAAGGAAGATTGACTCGGATTGAAAATGATGGAACTTGAAGAAAATAAAAATGTGGCTAAATGTAGAAACCTTCATATAGAAATCGACATGTTATATATCATAGACAACTTCACTTAAAGAACGTTTTTGGTTACATCACTTTTCCGTTGGAGACAAGGGATGTTGGAGATGCGGAAGGCTAATAGTTATTTGCGCCTGACATCTATCACATGCCCCAGGTTGAAGTAGTGATTGCGAGTAGATAGTTCATGCTCACAGTGCCTCCCGCCAACATGGAGTAAATGGGCGACAAAAATTTGATAGGAAAACCTGAGGTGTAAGTGGAAAGAAATAGCACTGCGGTCAAACATCTGGGCATGCGCGAACTACGTTATGTCGAGGAGGCGCATTTTTAGGCAGCAAGAGCCAAATTGTCCCTCAAGAGTGCTATATATTCTACTACACAAACTTGTAAGTCACGGTGTTTAAAAGGCTGCAGAGTTTTTGATAAAGTCAAGAAAAAAAGAAGATAAATCAATGGGATATTCATAGCAAATAAGCTTTGGTTCCGACAAGTCTCGAGTTTTCCTTTTCCCTGCTATATTGTCGAGAAGGAGGAGATTCCAAAAAGGGCCTGAAAAGGGTATTACATAGCAACCCCACTACTCAAAGGGTTTGCCATCGGATTATGATAGCCTGATACCCATAGGTCATCGCTACGTCAGTCATAGTCACAAATTATGGGTCACTAGTCGCTACTCACTGATTTTGAGGGGGGACGGAGGTGCTTCAAAGCATCAATATGTTTGGGTTCATGAAGAGGGGGAATGGGTAACTTTTGCAGCTACTTAATGTGGGATAATTGCGGTTGGTTAAACCGTTACTATGGCAATGCTTGCCCAGGAAACCAAGATTAACATGTTTTTTGTGAAATACCGTTACAAATGCCTTTTAAATTATTTCTTATCGATATGTAGTACAAGGGAAAGATAATAATCGTTTTGGGTCAATTGTTGATGTTTTGTCGCTAATTTTCTTAATTTATACTGAAGAGAATGAATGGCAGATGTTATCAGCTCGAAAAATACGAAGCCCATGTGACAAACACATTAAAAAAGACAATTGAGAACTTCCGATCTTTCCAATTGAGGTTGGTAAAGATGTCGATGTTCTACTAGCCAACCAGTTTCCAGTCGCCTGTATTCGGGGTACATGACAAAGTAGTCAGTTCAGTGCATGAAATTATTGACACTACCTAACTTCATCTGCTGTTGTACCAGCCTTACATGTAGGACCGTGAAGTGAGCTTATGAAGGCCTCAGAAAATCAACTTCTTGGTACTTGTTCTCTTATCTCCATTAGATGCGAGTAGACATGTTTGTTACTCACAAGAGCCTTCTAAGCCTTTCTTTTGCCTCTGACGAAGGGCTAACGCTCGAAACTTCGGCTCATAAACTCTTTATGGTGGCCAATTCACATTCTCAACTTAGCTGATAAAACCAAATTTCCTTGTTACCCCCACCGACGCAGCACCACAGTTTCTTTGGAAACTTGCCCCCTTTCTTTTGCTTGTCTGGCAAAAGCCACTTGTGAGGTCAAACCCTGTAAAAGCATAACTAGCGGATGACCTTCTTCTTACTTGCTCGCCATATTTAATGGTGTTCTCCTTGTCATACCAATCAAATATGACGTCCACGCAATTGCAGCCATTCTTCCCAAGTGGAGCAGTTATGACTGATCTCCAAGTACTTCTTGGCAAGCTCTCCAAACAGTGGTAAACCCACTTTCCTCCTCCACTGCACAATTGCCATACCATTGATAATGAATGCAGTTGTTAGGTCAACAGTGTCATGTACATGATGCCTTGGTAGAACAACAACTTCTTCTTCGAGGACACCTTGTAGCATGCTCTTTGATATCTTTATCAGAGACGAGTCTGTGTGCCAACCGTTGGCAATGAAGGACAGTGCGAACTTCAGAACCTGTCTGAGTTTTGTATCGTTAGGTCTTGACGCAAGATAATTATCAAGCTGATAATTTCCCGTCTGCCTTCACTGTGAAAAGTCTGTCCTGAGCTGATTTTACCTCAGCTTTCTTTGACAAAAATTGCAAACGTTTGATGTTCATCTTTGATAGAAGCTCCCAAAATCCAACTTCATCAAGGTACATTTATTTTCTTATCTGTGACTTCATCTCTTACGCCACCAGTTTGCAGAATTAAGAAGACCTAAATCGTCCAGCTTGACTGCTCCTGTAGCCAGGTTGTGTACCTCTTGTGGTAGTCGAGGTGCAAAACAGTTTCTCTCTACTTTTATAAGATTCTTTGTGTGCCTCCGGCAGTCGCTGTGCGATAAATCCCTCACAACTTTGGTAACTGTTAGGTCTGTAACTCGTTCATGTGCGGTAAGAAACCATCTTCCCTGGCCTCTGGATTTACAATTAGCATTTACGCTTAATTTAAGAGCTATGTAGGTCCATACTTTGTTATATGATAAACATTGGGCAAAAAGTTACTCAAAAGCTCATTGACTCCCTTTGACCAACAAAGTTCTTGTCATCGCCGGGAGCTATTATAAGAGCTCATTGTCTCTCTAATTGACCAATAATCTTCTTGCGATCGCGAGCGCTTTTCAGAGCTCATTGACTTCCCGATCGACGCACAAACATTTTGCGATTGGATGTTGACGTCAGAGCTTACTGACTCCCCCATCAACTAACAAACGTCTTGCGATCGGGAGCTCTTATCAGAGCTCACTGACTCCCCGATCAACCAACAACCTTCTTGCGACCGGAAGTTATTATCAGAGCTCATTGTCTCCAATTGATCAACAATCTTTTTGCGATCGGGAGCTTATATCACATCTCACTGATTCCCTAACTGATCAACAAACTTCTTGCGATCGGGAGCTTTTATCATTGCTCATTGACTTCCCGATCGACGCACAAACTTGTTGCGATCGGATGCTCTTATTAGAGCTCATCGAATTCCCGATTAACCAACAAACATCGTGCAATCGGGAGCTCTTATCAGAGCTCATTGACTCCCCGTTCTACCAACAACCTACTTGCGATCGGGAGCTTTTGTCAGAGCTCATTCTCGATGGACGCACTAACTTCCTGCCATCGGATGCTGTCATTAGAACTGATTGACTTCCCGATCAACCAACAAACGTCTTGTGATCGGGAGCTCATTGACTCCCCAATTGACCAACAATTGTCTTACGATCGGAGCTCGTATCAGAACTAATCGACTCCCCGATCAACCAGGAACTTCTTGCGATCGGGAGCTGTTATCAGAGCTCATTGAATTCCCGATTGACACATCAACCTTCTTGCGATCGTGAGCTCTTATCACAGCTCATTGCCTTCTCGATCGATGCACCAACTTCTTACGATCGGATGCTGTTATTAGAGCTCTTTGACTCCCCGTTCAACAAACAACCCTCTTGCGATCGGGAGCTCTTATCAGAGCTCATTGACTCCCCGATCGACACAACAACTTCTTGCGATCGCCAGCTCTTATCAGAGCTCATTGATTTCCCGATCGATGCACAAACTTCTTGCGATCGGATGCTGTTATTAGGGCTCATTCACTCCCTGATCAACCAACAAACCCTTTTGCGATCGGGAGCTCTTATCATACCTCATTGACTCCCCGATCGACCAACAACCTTCTTGCGATCGGGAGTTATTATCAGAGCTCATTGTCTCTCCAATTGATCAATAATCTTTTTGCGATCGGGAGCTCTAATCAGAGTTCATTGATTCCTCAACTGATCAACAAACTTCTTGCGATCAGGAGCTTTTGTCATATTTCATTGACTTCCTGATCTACGCACAAACTTGTTGCGATCGGATGCTATTATTAGAGCTCATCGAATCCCCGATTAACCAACAAACGTCGTGCGATCGGGAGCTCTTATCAGAGCTCACTGACTCCCCGATCTAGCAACAGCCTTCTTGCGATCGGGAGCTTTTATCAGAGCTCATTGACTTATCGATCGACGCACTAACTTCCTGCGATCGGATGCTGTCATTAGAACTCATTGACTTCCCAATCAACCGACAAACTTCTTGCGATCGGGAGCTCATTGACTCCCCAATTGACCAACAATCGTCTTACGATCGGGAGCTCGTATCAGAACTCATCGACTCCCCGATCAACCAAGAACTTCTTGCGATCGGGAACTCTTATCAGAGCTCATTGAATTTCCGATTGACACAACAGCCTTCTTGCGATCGGGAGCCCTTATCACAACTCATTGACCTCCCGATCGATGCAGCAACTTCTTGCGATCGGATGCTGGTATTAGAGCTCATTTACTCCCCGATCAACCAAGCCTCTGGCGATCAGGAGCTCTTATCAGAGCTCATTGACTCCCCGATCGACAAAACAACTTCTTGCGATCGGCAGCTCTTATCAGAGCTCATTGATTTCCCAATCGATGCACAAACTTCTTGCGATCGGATGCAGTTATTAGACCTCATTGACTCCCCGATCAACCAACAAACTTCTCCCGATCGGGAGCTCTTATCAGAGATCATTGACTCCCCGATCGACACAACAACTTCTTGCGATTGGCAGCCCTTATCAGAGCTCAATGACTTCCCGATCGACTCATAAACTTATTGTGATCGGGAGCTCTTATCAGAGCTCATTCACTCCCCGATTGACACAACGACTTCTTGCGATCGGGAGCTCTTATCAGAGCTTATTGACTTCCCGATCAACGCATAAACTTGTTGCGATCGGGAGCTCTTTATAGAGCTTATCGAATCCCTGATTGACCGACAAACCTCCTGCAGTCGGGAGCAGTTTTTAGAACTTATGGATTCAATAGTGGACTCACAAAGCAATCAGATAATGACGACCTGTTGATTGGTTATAAAGTCTGTAGTTGGTTCACGCATTGGTGTAAACTGCAAGTCGACTGGAGTAATGTGTTATATCCATAGAGTAAAAGTGACGATTTATCTCAGCTTTCGCCTCAAGACCTATATCCTAGCGCCCTGCACCCTTTGCCCCTATTACTTAACAAGAAGCAACGCCATGTTTATGTAGCGTTTCCCAATAACTGCGGTGATGAACTCTGTTTCTTAAATCTGCTGAACAGTAAACGACGGTCTTTCGATGTATCACTTAGCAGAGGATACGTATCTTTTATCTCTTCAGTGATAGATGACGCCTTGTATGTGCGGATATCCAGAACTTCCTTATTCTCAGAGGTCCACAGCAACCTCAGTAAAGGTTGCATTAAAAGCTTATGTGCTCTAACTCCGCGGGTGAATAACTTCGTTAAAGTAGCATAAGTGTTGTTTAAAAGCTATACAGACCGGATTCTGTGAATGGGTCTTCCGTCTATACCACTTTCTTGAAATTTCTTGGCTATTGCAGCTAGAACGAGGACGCAAAATGAAAACCTCCAAACAAATTTGAACGTTCTCAAGCTCTTTAGAGCTGTCCACTGAATTTCTTTTGCCTTTGATTACAAAGATCAATAGCAAGTTACTTTTCGAGTGAACGACTTCTACCTTTTATTCTTTTCAGCATTTTTGACTGTATTTCACAAAACCACGCTTTTTTCTTAGTTTCCTTAGCAGCCGTTTCATGGTAACGATAACCAACCAACCAACCAATTAACCAAACAAAATTATCCCACGTTAAGTTACAATTTTCCTCCAATTTTTTTATTTTATTTGGTCCAGTAGCTCAGGATGTATTTCCGAAAAGTTGTTAAACACATAAATGTTGGTGCAAAACAACTTCGCCGCCATCAATAGCAAGTCACTGATCCTACAATTTGAGGCTACGATTAACGTAGCAATTATCTCTGGGTATCAAGCTATCAATCTGATGTCAGACCTTATGTGTAATAGTGCTGTTATGTGATCGACTTTTTCTGACTTCCTCTCCTCGACTATTACATGGAGTTCACTTTTGAAGATTTCTACGAAAGTATAGCTTGCGTGCCGCCGCCGCCAAGTATAGCTTGCTTTAACCGCCGCCCAGTCAGCCCGATGGATAGTGCGCTGGACTGTTGTGCGGAAGGTCGAGGGTTCGAGCCCCGGCCGGACCAACACTCAAGGTCTTAAAATAATTGAGAAGAATTTGCTACCTTTCTATAACATCAAGAAATGGTTAGAAAATTCTAGTCTTCTCGGACAGGGACGAATAAATGGAGGTCCCACCTCCTGCAGGGTTGGGGTAGGAGACGTTAATTTCCCACGCACGAGATTACTGTGTGATGGATGTCCTCCCTGGGGTGGGATGGTGGGTTTGTATTGTTGTGAAGGCCGTAAGTCAGATAACTCATTGGGTTAATTACGTCACCTTCGTTAAAGAATAAAGAATATTGTATTGTATTATATTGTCGAGCCAATAGTTGTTTCTAATGTTTTTCCTTTGAAATTTTGGGCGGGATATTAGCGCGCGACTGGCCAAACGTATCAAGCTTTGGGTTTAAATTGTGGGCAGACATTGGCGCGGCGTCACTTTCCTTTCAAATTATTTCAATTGTTCGTAGCTTCGAGGCTGTTTTGTCACAAAGCTAATTTTCGAACGCGAGATTCAAAACCGTCGTTAATGACTAATTGATAACATAATCAACCCTTGTACTTTACCGGTGCATGACGGACAATTGTTGGCTATGTTCGAAACATCAGCATGCAATTTAGGAAGAGCAGCAATACCTCTGGTCGCTTCATGCGACAGTAACCGAGGCAAGCTTGGGGAGCCATACAGACTGACCTACTGAGGCAGGATAAGTTCTGTTGTGGGTTGTTTATTTCAGAAAGAGACAGATGTGGAGCTTGGTAGCCTACTGAGATCTGAGGCCCAGAGTGTTTACAATCAGCTGTTATTGTATCTAAGCGTTAGTTATAGCAAGGTGTTTAGTGGACTGGCAATGCTAGCCTCGAAGGATGACACTTACACTGGGCCAAAGGATCTTAAAACTGATCTACATCTGGTAGGGGCATAACTAACTAGATATCATAGAAAAAGATATTTTTCGTCTTGTCACGAGCGTGGGACAAGACGAGTCCTCACGAGGAATCTAACCCTAGGCCTTCGGATTCCTCGCTCCGATGCTCTGAGCCACTGAGCCACAGATACACTATGGCTCATTCATATATGACACGCGTCCTGCATACTGCCAAGATCGGCAATGTCGTTACTGTAATGGTAAATTGGCCACCGTAACGATTACAAAAGCTGACGTTTCGAGCGTTAGCCCTTCGTCGGA